GAATTGAGAAAACAGGTAGAAATGCCTGGGGAGGCTGAGTGAGACACCATACAAATGTGAGTGTGTGTGTCAGACAGATACTATCATGTGCCTGAATGTATTTCAAAACAATGCATTTTATTTAACTTCTTGCAGCTGTTTGGTGAAGAAGAAAATCCTACCAGACACGTGTAAGTGCAAACCCCTTTTTGCTCCTGTGTCACATCACAGTGATTTCCCTGAGACACAAAGCAGGATTAAAACCCACCCAGCTGGAGAGAGAAGTGAGGCTGCTCCCAAGTGCAGGTGTGCTGGGGAAAGTAGCTCCACAGATACAGGGCACATTGCTCATCACCTACACTGATTCAAATCAGTTTGGACAAAAGCCACAACAGCGTTTAAAAACCTACTCAGTGGCTGAGGGAAGGGAAAGGGAAAAGGGTTGCGGAGATCTGGGCAGGAATTTGAGGAAACACTGCCCTCTTCTTTTGTATTTTATTGAAGTGTTTGTGTGATGCAGGTCCTGAAGTCTCTGCTTGCTTGCTAATGATGCACACTTTGCATCAGTAGAATCCCTACTATCCTTAACCCCATCAGATTGGCACTGTGCTCAGGAGAAATGCTGGACCGGACAAGCACAGGGAGAGCAGAGCCTGTTTTCCTTAGAGTAATTGCTTTCCTCTCCTCCTCCTCCTTCCTGGGTCAGGGCTGTGCACATTAGGCTGGCTTTCATTGTGAGCACCACTGTGTTGTGTAGCTGCTGGGTAAGTACATCAAGAGGCTCATGCCCAGCGTGCAGCTCTCATCGTTCCTTTCTCTCGAAGCTGCTTTCCAATTATGTTTTGGTCTGGGGGTAGAACAGATTTCCTGCAGTGTTGAAGCCAGGCAGATTCTTTGCTGGACTGGGGCTTGATAAATGTGCATTCAGTCTCACGCACCAGAACAGTGAGCAACACCAATATGAAATGCTATAGAAATGCAGCATTTCACTGAGAGAAATGCAGTGTTTTTAAGCAGACGCCGTCCAGCAGATAAATGCAGAAATGTACCCTTTTATCACTGTTTCTGCAAGATTTGTGTTTGCCCAATGCGGTGGTATCTGGGTGACCATAACAACCCATTACATTCATTTGCCCACAATTGATAGCACAAAACAGACTCCTGCCGTGTGTCGCTGTACTGGGACAGTCAGCAATGACACAGCCAAGCAAATATTTGACAAAGGACAGTTGGGTTTCTCACTGCTCTCTGAGTAACACTGACTCTATCCCAGCTATTTTCTGCTCTCACAGCTTCTTTGTTTGAATGTTTAATTTCTCCTCCTTCCTCTGTTGCACAGAGCGGTGGAGCAGCTCAAAATGGCTCAAGGTGTATCTGCAAAGTGCCAGGAGGGATTATTTCTGCATGAGCACAGGCAGTCATTGCTTGCACAGGGTGTTGGCCTCACATCACACTTGTGGCTGAGCACGGTTCTGGTTGGAGTGGGCCCACAGGTGGTCAGTTTGCATGGCCAGGGATGGCCAAGGTGCCATTCCCACAGACACATCTCGGGTGGCACAAGAACTGTGCTCAGCTCCCCGCAGCTCATGAAACCTGGCTGGCAGCTCCTGACCATTTGAGTATTTTAGTAGGCAACTCGCAGAGTCAGGAAGTTTGGCCACACCTGCTGACACATCTTTCTAAAACTCTGCTGAGGAAAAGGCACTGCTGGGAAGTCAATCCAGCCATGAGGGATGAGATAAATTTAATTCAAACAATTTTGAGTGCGTTTACATCAGGCATTTACACCGGGGCAGTCGGCTTGGCTTTAAGCAGGATTAGCTGAGTGGAGGAGCACAAAGCGTTTCCGAGGCTGAAGGGCCCTTGGTTTGATGCTGTTGCAGGCGGATTAGAGCCGAGCGAGCGTTGGAGGCTGCCGAGCACAGCGCTCTGTTCCTCACGGCACAAGAAGCTTAGGGAAGGGATGCCACAGGCAGATGAGCTGGTGAGACACGATGCTAAGCACAGCCCATCAGGCAGCTCAGAGGAATCCTGTTTCTATACACCACTTGATCACATTTTGCATGAAGCTGCGATTTATCTCAGCAGCGGTGCTGGCTTAAGCAGCAAATTCCACTCAGAAGAAATTTGCAGGTTTGAAAGGAAAAGAGTTGTAAGAAAAATCTCACCGATTGGTGCTGCAGGAGTGTCCCGGTGGCTGCAGAGTGACCACGACACGTGTGGATGTGCCCATTGACATCACTACCTTCGCAGCCCTGGATGAGCGAGGCTGCACCAGCTCTGCCTCGGGCACTCAAGCAGGGTGAGGATCTTTGCAGCCAGCCTCACGCATCAGCCCTGGGGTTATGCCCTGACTGGAGCTGCAGAAATCTGTAGCCTGTATCCAGTGTGGGAGCAGTAACCAGCCCTGGCAGTGACACATCTCTTGGCCCCACATCAGAAGAGCCATGTGGGTCCACGGGGCTCCCTGTAACTCCTGAGTTTGGAACCACCACCCTGCTCCTGCCCTGAGCCAGCCGGCCCACAAAATGTTTTCCCATGCCGCCATAGAAACATTTACTGACCAACATTTGGTAACGGCCTCACCCTATTTCTGATCCTTTCAGGGCCCTCCAGGTCAAATGACACAGTTTGGGGGTTTAGAAAATCTTTAGACGTGAACTAAAATCTCTCTGGTGCTGCTTTCTCTTTTATATTTTTTTTTTGACAGGTCTAAAGCTGCTCTGATATGAGGTCTCACCTTTCCTGCTCCCACTCAGCTGCCTACCACCTTGGGTCCATCTTTAAGCACAGTTACCAGCACGCTCATCCTGATGTGAAGGGTCTAAAGGCTTGAGCTAGTTCTCCCATCAGGCAGTGTGTGGTTCTGGCTCTCACTGACCCCACGGCCACATTTTTGCTTTCTAGCCGAGCACTTCGGGGCAGGAGAGGAGCTCAGGCAGGCAGGTGTGGGCAGTGCAGGTCCCCACTGGGGCCCAGGTTATGCCACTGCTGCATGTTGGGACCCCACTTAATTGCTCCTCACCACTTCGAGCAGTATTTCAGCTGTAATGTAATTCCACGCCTCCAGCACGGCCACTTCTTGTGACCACCTCCCTCCTCCCCATGCCCCCTCCGGGGATGCCTTTCCTCCCTCTCCCGCAACCTTTTGCTGTGCTGGGCCTCACTGCAGAGCTGACACTGCTGTGAAGGAGGTGAGATTGGTGTTTTGTTAGTCAGGGTTTTTCTTTCTTCCTCTCGTTCGGTACTGAACTGCAGAGGCAAAGAGCACTCGCACTGAAGACGGTGTCTCAGGTGAGATGTCTAATGCAGTCCCAACTGCTCAGCAGTCATTAAACATCTCAGGGAAGATGTTTCAGGAACAGGGATGTTAACCTTGTGGTCCTGGACTGATTCCAGCTCGTTTAATTACAGTTTTCATCGCTGAAATTTGCTCTGCACTTTTGACCAGTTATGGGATTTTTTTTTCCCCATCTCCTCGAAGCTGTTGAGCAGCCTTGCTACGAGCTGCCCCATTCCCCACACAACCTGAAGAAACATGCAATTACTGCTGCTCCCTCCCCCAAGATTCTCAAATCCATTGTATTTTCTGGTTACTTAACAATTCAGGATTCTGCACAGTATCACTAGCTCACCTATATAGAAACATTTTACCTGTTTAACCTGAATAGATGAATATATATGCATAGCATAGACTATATACGAGGCAAATGCGTGCCATTGCTGCAAAGAACATGACCTTTACCATTAACATAAATATAGAAAAAAAATCATATATAAACATATAATCATATAAAGATATAGAAAGTAATCCAAAGTAAGTGATAATGTAATGCAAGCTAAACAACCTACACAGTCCCTTATAATGAAAAATGGTGTAAAGCTATATGAGTATAAAAACACTATATGAGTATATACATTCTGTGTGTATGTGTGTATATATATATAAACGCTATAAAAATGAATTAAGCTGTTTTAAACCTCACACCTTTGTGAATGTGGGATGAATCTCCCCCTTCAGCAAGCCTTGGCAAACAATTCAGGGGTAATAAAGCTGTATTGCGATGGAATTCCCATCTCACAGCACGGTGGGACTCGGTGGGGTGTGATGACAACCTTAGGAAGTGTTTAGGGCCAAGCTGGACAGGGCTTGGAGTAACCTGGTCTCATGGAATATGTCCCTGTCCATAGCAGGGAGTTGGAACCCAAACCATTCCAAGATTCCATGATTTCCCCAGCTTCAAACTGATAGAGGGCAGGGTTAGATGGGATATCGGGAAGAAATTCTTGACTGTGAGGGTGGAGAGGCCCTGGCACAGGTTGCCCAGAGAAGCTGTGGCTGCCTCTGGATCCCTGGAAGGGTCCAAGGCCAGGCTGGACAGGGTCTGGAGCAACGTGGGATAGTGGAAGGTGTCCCTGCCCAGAGGTGGAACTGGATGGGCTTTAAGGTCCCTTCCAACCCAAAATTCCGTGATTCTGTGGCGCGGCCGCAAAAGGCCCCCGAGCCCAGAGCCCCGCCGTGGGGTGGATGCTCCCCTGCCCCACAGAAAGCCGCGGAGCACATCGGTTTGAGGCGGGGGGGGGTGGTTGTTCCCGCGGTGACCCAGCGCTCGGAGCCGGCACACGGAGCGGTTTAACCGCCGGGCTCCGGCCCCCCAGGCGGGGCCGCTCTCACGCCGGGGCTGCGCTGCCCGCCCTGCCCCGCAGGCGGCGCCGCGCGGCCGCCGTTGCCGCCCCCGCCCCGCGCCCCGGACCGCGGCGGGGCGGCCGCGCCCGACGGAGCGGCCGGGGGGGAGGCGGCGGCCGGCGCGGCTCCCGCCCCGCCCCGCGTCCCCGCCATCCCCGCCCCGCCGGCCCCGCCCCGGAGGCCGGCACGCTGGCTCGCTCGCTGCCGGGGAACATGGCCGAAGTCGGGAGGACAGCAGCGGGGCGCGGGCTCTGCTGGCGCTGCGCTCGGCGCCCTGCAGCCCCGCCGCCGCGCCCCCTCCCGGGCCGCCGCCCCCGGCCGCGCCGCCCGCCGCCTGCGCCGGGCCGGTGCTGGCGCGGCTGCAGGGCCGCGAGTTCGAGTTCCTCATGCGGCAGCCGGCCGTCACCATAGGCCGCAACTCCTCGCAGGGGTCGGTGGACGTCAACATGGGGCACTCCAGCTTCATCTCGCGGCGGCACCTGCAGCTCAGCTTCCAGGAGCCGCACTTCTACCTGCGCTGCCTCGGCAAGAACGGCGTCTTCGTGGACGGCGCCTTCCAGCGCCGCGGCGGCCCGGCCCTGCAGCTCCCGCCGCAGTGAGTGCCGGGGGCGGCGGGGCCGGGCCCGCTCCGGGGGGCAGGGGCCGCACGGGGACCCTCCGCCCCGGGGAGGGGACGCGGGGCTGGGCGGAGAGGGGGCTCGTAGGAGAGGTGTGAGGGTCTCTTACCCCCACCGAGGGGCTGTGGAGGTGCCCCTGCGCAGGGGATGTGGGTCTGTCAGGCCCTGAGGTGACGGTGAGGGGCCACAGGTGATAAGGGGTCTGGGAGGGATCCCCCTGCTCACCCTCACGGTGAGGGTCCCCTCGCTTGAGGTTGGTCACAGTGGGTGAGGGACACTCAGCTGGTGGAGTGCCTGAGGTGGCGGTGAGGGATGTGTGCCTGGAGACAGCCAGGGCATCCACCTCAACTTCCAACAGGGGTGTTCTCGCCTTCGCTGCCATCTATGACTGAGAAAGGGGATGATGATCATTGGGCCTGGGGCTGCTTCAACTGAGGGAACCATGTCTGGACAAAAACTGTGAGCCCCTCACTGCAGGGTGTTGCCCAGGGTCATCATCCTCTATGCCCGCCTGCCAACAGACTCATGTTCAACTAGTAGACTTTAAGGGTTTTCAAAAAGACAAATCAGTGAAGAAGAACTCTAGTCAGTCTGCTAAAACGTGCTACACCCAGGCGTTGTCTTCCCTGGAAAAGATGTAGTGGAAAAAGTTGGAAACCACTTAGCCAGAGTGCTTATTTAAGGGTTGGCAAGTTGGGTGTTGTTCCTGGTGTTTCTCTGAGGCAACAGAAAAATGAAGGAGTCGGGCCAGGCCAGGGGTGATGCTGCTCCCCAGGACACCTGGACAGCAGGTGGTCAAGGTGTCTTTCCCTCCTTGAGGAAGGGGAGAGGGCTGCAGAAGGGTTTCTGTGCTAGCAGGGAGGTGGTTGTTTGTGGTCTGTTTAACTCTCTTGCAGAAAGAAGAACGAGGTTGACATGCATTTCTTTCTTCCTCTGCAAACATTGTTTATGTTTGCTGAGCACTGTCCAGCGACTGCAGTGCTTCACCCCAGGGCAGCAGCGTGGTGGTGGGTGATGTAATTCCTGCCTGCATCTCTTCAGGTTGTACCAGGCAGACTGTGTCTAATGCCATCTCTGAGTGAAAATGCGCTGAAAAGTCAGGAGATTGGGGTTTTGTTGTTTGCATAAAACATCTGTTTTCATCTGTCGCGTTTTGGCTTTGGTACTGTTTACCTCCAGCACCAGGGTCCTGGAGTTACCCCTCACTCACCAGCCTGTAGCTCAGGGGAGGGTTTTTAATTACTCATTTCCTCTGCAGGCTGCTTCATTTTGTACGTAGTAATTTAGTTATAACTCCCTAGCTGCTCACTCTCTGAGGCGTTTTGGTTTGTAACGTGTTTCATTTTCTAAAAGAGATGTCCTTTAGTGTCTCTTTAATTAATCTGGCTGTGTAAAACAAGACCACCCGAAGCCCAGGGCATTTCTGTTGTCGTTCCCTCTGGCTCTGGGTTTATCTGTGCAAGCTCTCCCCTCCCTGCCATTCTGTTTCTTCACTTGGTTAATCATAAGCACTGTGATAGAAAACTCTCTCTCAAGCAGCAACTTGGTTGCGTATTTCTCTCCCCTTTGCTCGTGACTTCTGGAGTGGGAATGGTAGTTTTCCTTCTTCATTGCTTTAAAGGGAGGAGTTTAATGTTCAGTTATGAACTCTGCACAATAAGACATCCTCTCAGCTTGACCGCTGTTTGAGCTACATAAATAAACTTGATGCTCCTCCCTTTCTGACTTCCAGGGTAGGAAAACGTTTTGCATCAATCTAAAGGAATTTGCCCCCTTGCTTCTAACAGGTAAACAACTCCTTACTGGCCAGTCAAGGGTTTGTAACCCAGACCAGGAAAAAGAAAATCCTGTTGAAGCTTGGTATACACAGTCTTGATTGAGGCTTTAAACTGTCTGCTGTTATCTCGTTATCTCCTCTCTTGAAAAATCAGACAATTCCCTCCCAGTCACCCTGCTGCACACACACAGACACACACAAATCTCCCCTCCCCAGTAAACATGAAGTGCTGGCTGGTGCCATTTCTTCTCTGTAAAGTATCCTGTGTGCTTACTGCCAGCTCATACTGTCAAAAGGAGGACAGAGTGGGGACAGGTTGTAGTACACAGACTTTGCAGAAGAAATTGTGGACTGTCCTGTATGTTATGGTAACACTCCTGCCCTGTTTGATACAGCCCCACCTTCTCTGTGTACTGGCAGAATGTACAGTTTATGTTATATTTCAGGAATTAATGGCCATTGCATTAATTTACAGGGAGGTCCTTGTGATGTGAGGAGCTCTTGCTGTAATATTTTAAGAACCAGTTGTTTTGGATAGTTGCCCCCTTTTCTTCCCCCCCCCACCTGCAACAGGATGGCAGAAATGTGCCAAGTCCTATTTCTTTTGGACCACTACAGTCACTGCTGCTGTTACATTACATGCAAAGGAAATGCTTGTGCATCATGAGATCATGAATGGAAGCAGAGGGTTCCAGGAAAAAGTGCCTTTCAGCTGTAATTCATAGTATTTGTTAAAAAAATAGATTCTGAGCTCATAAGTTCTGTTTCTGAGGTTTCTTCTTGCTTCACTGTTTCTGTGTAAAACTTCTCTTTGTGAAGTTTTCTAAGTTTAGGAGTGGTTATTCCTGAAATGTGCAGAAGATTTTGTCAGGAGGGGTGGGGAAGGGAGGAAGGAGGAAGAGTTTGAGGCCTCTCTCTTGGGGACCCTATGTACCTCCTGTCTCAACAGACCTGTTCAAAATCAAGGGCCTTTGAAAAGCTTCGTCTCACTTCCTCCATCAGCGCCGTGTGTACATTTCATCTGCTGCACCCAGGATTTTACTGCTGGGCAGGAGTGTCATATTCCACAGCTGTGTTGTTAGGGGAGGCTGTATTTCACAGATGTGATGACATAACTATAAAGCATAATTAAACAATAACGACCAACAAGGAGGGCTTTTCCTAGAGGTTAATGACAGTTAGGAGCAAAGTGGGTGGAAGAGTGGAGGGCCCACGGTACAGCTGAAGACCCTTAATCAGTTTAATTAATAAGTGCCACACTGCAGCAGGCATTACAAATATAAATCAAGATGAAATTATGGAAGTACTTACATCAAAACCAAGTGCTTCAAATCAAATTAAGGATTGCTAGAAACTCTTTTTTTTTTAGCTTGTGATGGGTTTTTTAGCTGTGCTAGTGAGAGCTGGAAATCAGTGGATAAATATCTCGGTATTTTTCTATAAAAAAGAGTGAAACTCAAAATTATCAGGAAGGATATGCACTGGATTTTAAAAACTATTAATACCAGAAAAAGTATAAGAGCAGAAACCCTTAGCTGGAGTTCTTTTTTCTGTGGAAGACAGTAATTTCTTCAAATTTACAGTGTAACCAGATGTTTACAGGATCAGGTTAATGCTGAATTATTAATGTTGTTGTCTTCAAATGTGATGCAATTTTTAAAATAAGTGACAATTCCAAGTTAGAGACTTCCAGTAACTAAAATAAGCTTTTAATTTATTTATTTATTTTTCTGTCTCAGTACCAAAGGAACTGAAACAGTTGAAAGTTAAACTTGCTAACCTGAATTTTAAGCAGCTATGGGTCAGGTATTCAAATGCTCCTAAATACAAAAGTTCTATTGACTAAAACCTGCAAATATTGCTTGAGCATAGCCTGATAATGGCACTTGAGCTTTTTGAACTGGGAGCTCGATAGATTGGAAAATGGTGCTTGTCTGGGAATGTTTCATGGGATTATTTGCTTATTGCTTCTGTGACCGTCTTGAATTTTTGCAGTAGCGCAGTTAATGGAGCCTGAAGTTGGTGTTTTTTCTGTGTAAATGGATTCTTCCAGGATGAGATTTCAAAGCATAAAAACAAGTTTTTAAACATGTAGTTCTTTTAGTGTTTAGGAAATGGAAGAAATAAATGGAGGAGCTTTTTTAGTTTGAGCGTAAATACAGGGCAAGCAAATATATGAACGCATGAAATAAAATTAAAACGTGGAGCTAAAATAAAAAAATTTATTATGTATATAAGCCCCAGTATAAATTGAAAACTTACCATGCATGTGAAGTTTTATTAAGAGCATGCTGCTTTATTTATAGTAGGGTTTTCCTAGGCACTCAATAAACTTGACAAAAATAAATAGCCCAATACTCCCACCACATATCAAGGTGCTGATCCTGCAGAATTTTACACGTGCATTCATCTTTCTGTGTTGGGAGTACACAAGTTCCCTTCGGCATTTGGGCAGTGGGGGTGTCTCTGCAGCTGGGCTTTAGTAACCCAGCAGAAAATGGAGAGTCACATCCAGTTTCTAAGGGACACGACTGTACAGTCTGTTAGCCAGTAACTCGAGGCACTAACTCAAGCAAAAAAAAAAAAAAAAAAAAGACATATTCTAGAAAAATGGAGATATGCACAGTTCCTCTCAGTGTTTTGGTGACCTCACCAGCCTCTCGCCCTCTGTCCTTGTGGTTTCGAGCGATGCCATCACAGCGGGCACGAGGCAGGGTGTCCTCACATCTCAGAGGGAGCTGCCCACCCTCCCTGCACACACCAAGGAAACGCCTTGACCACATCACCACCACTACAGAACTGGTTGTTTCTGAAGTGCTGCATATGTATGTTGTCTCTGGTTAACTCCTCAGGTAGCTTGACTTCTTAAATTTTATGTAATCTGCATTTGCAACCATTTTTTTGTTCTTTGTTTGAAACGCGTCGTTTGCTGTGCTACAACTTGTGGATGGTGGTTTTGCTCTCACTAGAAACTCTTCAAAGATTTGCTTTCTTAGTGCTTCGTCTTGTATTTTTCATGCTCTTACTTAATTTCAAAGACTGCCTTTGAGAACAGGTTTTTTTGTTGCACGGCAAGATGTGATAAAGGATTACTTGATTTTAATTATGGAATTCATGTCAAGTAATAATTTTTGGCTAAGCAGCTCAATTTGTCATGAGTTATATTAAACGTTTAAGGAAAGTTTCTCTCATGTGAAACTG